GGAGAGGAAAGTAAGAGATGCCAGTGTTAAAAAAAAAAAAAAAAAAAAAAAAAAAAAAAAAAATCACCTAAGTTTAAAGATCTAGTTGGCTTTATTCAACTATTCAAAAAGGAAGTTTCTAGCAAAGGTTGGATTGTCTCAGGCAAGTTCATCTACCTATGGAAGACAGAAGGGGTCTATCAGACTGACTATCTCACTAGTATTGACCAGGTAACGCGAATTAACTGGTTAAAGATTACATTCTTGGGGAGGCTACAACTGCAATTAGGTTAGGTACGAAGTCTTGGTTTGCTGACTGGGGACCTCGTACAAGTGACTCCCTTGGGATCTATTGTCTCCTTAAAAAATCCCTCTCCCACCTCTTTGATCAGACTCTCAGCCTGAGAGGTGTGATCTAAATTCAAGGGATCCGTGGCCCTCTCAGCTACTGCTCTGTAGTCCCCACAGCTCTTATACCCTCTGTGTGGTATTCACAGGTCATGACTGTAGGCTCACAATTTTTCAGTCAGTCATCCTCTTCCTTCCTTTTCTGGTATTCCCATCTTCAGGAAATCATTTGCTTGGTGGTTAGCAGCTGTGAACATGCATTTAAAGCTTTTGGGAGAATTCAGTACATCAAGGAGGACATTATGATTATTATAAGCAGGTTAATTTCCAACTTTCGGAGTGAACTTCAGAGCCATGGTCCCCAGACCCAAACCATTCAAAATCAAATAAGGAAAAGAAAGACTCCATTGAAGGAGTCACCCTTGTAAGACAAGCGGCTCACTCCGTGATCTTATGTAACTGACTTCAGCTTCCCCCAAGGTGTGAATACAGGCTCAGCAGTTGTGCTGGCTACAGCACAGGCCCTCCATGTTCAGCTAGAAGATAACCAGGGGCTATTTAATTATCAAGAACAACCTTAACTGGAGTCTACAAATTTTTTGTTGTTGGGCAGCTATTGTCTTAGCAGTGGATTCAGCAATATTTTCAAGTTTAAGGAGAGGTTCCTGACCATAACCTCATTTACACTTACTCCTAACCAGGGACATAGGGCCCTGCCAAAGGAAGCAAATCCTGAGTCATGAATGCCTCCTGGAAGGTCTTTTCTAACTCCATAATGTAAATTCAAGGGAATTGACCAATAAAGTATCTCAGTTCATTTGTGAACAGTTTAGGGCACAGATAACCAAAGAGGCATTGCTTGGTTATGTGCCAGCCATCTAGGCATTCATAGGCCCAAGGAGAATGATAATGACCACAGACAAAGAAAACCCCGTTGCGGCACAGCCCTTCCCCTTAAGCTGGCATTGCCAATGAACTCAGTAGCAGGAATTGTTGCATTTGCCCATTCAAGCCACGGGTCGGTTAGGTGTCCAGCGCATTTGGGAAGTCAATCTAACCTGAAATAAAAGTTGTTCTAAATCCCTTGCAAAGATGGGAGCTGCTGGTGAGATCGTTTTGTGATTGGAGGCAGATGTGGTGTAATGACAAGAACATAGGGGTGCACATGAACTAAGACTTAACCTAGGTATTTATGTCGAATTGGTTAAGTACAGGTCTCATTAGAGAAAGGTGAAAACGGGCACTGGGTGTTCTGGCCGTAAAGGTTGACCTTGATAAGAGACTTCTGGGGCTGGAGGAGTGCAGTCATGGTCTGCAGTGACATTGGGGTAAAAGAGAAACAGCTCACAGGGAGTAGCAGGTGTCTTTCGCGTCAGGGATAGGTCAGAGTATCTGATGATGAATCAAGCAGTCTGAAAGGGTGCCCCCTGAACAGTGGCCTGGGGTATACAGGTGAGGACATTATCTCTGTAGGCCAGTGCCAGAGTAAAGGAAGGACAGGGGGAAAGAAACAGTTTCGTGGTTAAACTATAGAGTCCTGATCCAGTAGCTGAGTGGAAGTCAGCTACTTCTCTTTCTTATCAATGTGAGTCCAGGGTCGCCAGCGTCTGTTCAGCACCAGCTGGCAGACGGAGCCTTCAGCTGGAGATGGAGACCCAGGCCAAGAGCCTGCTGGTGTGCGGCAGTGCCCATGGTCAGCAGCACCCGGTACGGTGAGGTCCCCTCCAGTGGGGTCCAGGGCTGTCTTCCTCTGATGGCAGGTCCAGAACACCCAGCCACCAGGCCCCGGACCCTTGACCACCAGGATCCTGAGTCCAAATCTGGAAAAGCTTTTTGACCTGCTGACAGACTTTAGTATAACCCATTAGCCTGACCAGGATAATCAGCAGAGCTGTTACCGATGTACATTGGTCTGCGGGGACGACCGCGTGTGGGGTGAGCTTGTTTCCCTGAGGGGTTACTGCGCACACTCAGCAAGACCCAGGGCAGCCCCTCAGGCTTCCAGCAGCTTCAGCAGGTTTAGAGGTTTTAAGTCCGAGGAGCCCGTTAGTTCTCTCAACCTTGCCTGAGGGTTGAGGGCGAAAGGAACGGGGATAATTCCAAGTATGAAGGCAGAGGTCTGGGCCTGTTTCTGCAGAAGCAGAATAGACTTCGTCCAGGTGTCTCACAACCTTGAAGGTTCTGTGCTGCTGCCTGTGCATGAAAGTCAGCGAGGGCCTTTCTCCAACAGGCAGGCGGGCCTTCCAGTGAGAGCCTGTGTTGGTGACAGTCCTTTCAGAAGGTCAGAGCATCGCTGTCTACTGGTTGACCTTTTTTTTTAAGATTTTTAGAGATAGAGGAAGGGAGGGAGGGAGGGAGGGAGGGAGGGAGGGAGGGAGGGAAGGGAAGGGGAGGGAAACATTGATGGGTTGCCTCCTGAAAGCCACCCATCAGGGATGGAGTCTGCAACTCAGGCATGTGCCCTGAGTGGAAATCAACCTTTTGGTGCACAGGATGACACCCAAACAACCGAGCCACACTGGCCAGGGCACTGGTGCCCATTTTTTATGGGGGTCCTTATAAACATAAGAAAACCCCTTTGTTTCCCTAACGCTCCAAAATCATGGATGACCTCACAGGCACACCAGCGGTCATGACAGTCTCAACATTAACAATGTGTCCTTTGATAACTTGCAAGCTCTGGTAAGAGCATGGAGCTGTGTTGTGGGGCCAATGGAGACTCAGGGAGGTTCCCCCTTCCAAGCAGTTCATATTGGGTAGGGACGCATAACCAGCTTGGAAATTCCCCTTTTCATCTTTCCAGTATGAATCATCAACAAACAGACCTTATTCCCTCCCAGTCCCGGGGCTCGCTTAGCGGGGTAGTGACGTAGCAGGAATGAAAACCCTCCCATGTGTAAGAGCAGATTAGGTGGTGAGGGCAGAGGACCTCTGAGGAGGCTAGTCACCTGCAGAGAAGTGCTGACTCGATTCAGTCAGGAAGACTCCGGACGGCCTGCGGCTTCCACTCACTGTGCCCACACTGAACCTGCAGGCGGCTGGGATGGGGCCAGCAGTGGCATGTGGCTGCTGATGGGCAACAGGCCTGCGTCGGTTGCCATGTTCTCCTGTGAGCCTTCCCAGGGCTTGGTCATGTCTCTCACACACAGATCAGGTGCAAGGTTCTGAACACCTAGGGAAGCTCAGGCAGGCGTTCTGACAGCACGTGTGGGGTCCTATAAAGGCTGCTCAGGTGGGAAAGAGTTGGCCCCTGGACTAAAAGTGTAAGGCCTCAGATTAGAGCGCGCATCTATGGCGTTCACTGCAACATGCCCATGTTTGGTGTGGGAGGAGAGAGGGCTGGGCCATGTGAAGACCACAGAGGACCCAGTAACCAAGCTCCAGTGACCTCTCCCATCACCCGAGTGTGTGTGTGGGGGGGGGGGGGGGCGGGGGACGCGGAGACCAGTGGAAATAAATGCAAAGCAGCGGGTGGAACTGGGAGAAGACACCAAGTCCGGTAAGGCCTCGCCTAGATATGGGCCCCAAGGGAGCCCCACATTCAGGACATAAGATCAGGTCAAAGTGCGAAGACAAACCCCCATTCTGTAAAACTGCTGTTTGGAATTCTCTGCTATTCTTTGGACGGCCTCTATCTAATTCTGGAAAATAACTTGGCTTTCTAGCCTGCTTGAATAATGGGGGAGACAGACTCGGCTGTCTGACCTTGCAGGCCAGAGACTAGACTAGATACACCCAATGCCAGGCCAGGTGCATTTTTTAATTGGATAGAACCGTGTAGTTTTCAAGGCCGCCGCCAGCAAGCACACAAAGGGCTGGCTCTTCTATAAAAAGGGAAGTTCTGCTTGTAGCTTTGCTTAGAATTTCGGTTAATTTCCCTAAGCCCGCCCGGGTGAATACAGTGTAACTCCAAACTCTCAGAGCGCTGTTTGGTTCTTGCCCGGTTTTTCTGTAACAAAAGGTCAAAGAACATCTTGGGGCTAAAAGACAGAAGCAGAAAATTACAGAGAAATGCTACAGCTAGTGCACACGCGGGACGTAATGCTGAACCTCAGACTTTATTAGAAATTCACATCGGAGAGGGCAGGAGGGGGAGGGGTCTTCCCGAGGCTGAGGACCCACGTGGCACAGCGGGGCTGGCGGGGCCCAGGCAGGGGGACCCGGCTCCGGCCGCGGGGGCTGGGCCGCGGGGGAGGGGGGGCCTCGGGGGAGGGGGGGCCGCGGGCGCCGCCTGGAGGGGACGGGAGTCCGGAGTGCGATCCGGTGCCGCCCACGGGAGAGGGTCCCGGAGGGGGTTGGGAGCTGGGCGGCCGCTAAGGGGCGGGACCCGACGGTCGGATAGGACCGTCTAGACACCCCGGGAACGCGGCGGGCGGTCCGGGGCGGGGTCAGAGGTTGCAAGTCTGGGGGTGCATCCGGCCGCCGGCCGAGAGTCGGGGGTCGGGGCCACGGTCACCTGAGCAACACGAAGAACCCGAGGAGGCGGCGGAAGGCGGGCGGGATGAGCCGCGAGGAGGCGACTGCCATCTTGACCAAGGGCGCGGGCAAGAGCCGGTCGCGCACGTGGATGAGCGGCCTGGGGTTTGGGCTGCGGGTGCGGGGCCCGCGCGCGGGGGCAGGGCCGCCGCTGGGTCCGGGCCCCGGGCCTCCGGGTGCCGCGTGCTCCGACTTACCGCCCAGCGTCGCGCCCGCCCGGCCCGCGGGCCCCCGAGGGCGCCTCCCGGCCGCCACAGGCCGCCTCTCCGCCGCCGCCATCCGCCTCCGCCGCCCGGCTGACGCCAGCGAGTCGCAGCGCGGGCGAGAGCGGCCCTTCTCCGCCCGCCAGGAGCTTGGGGATGCGGCGGGGGGCGGGGCTGCGTCTGCCCGGTGTTTTGCATACTGCACCCACAATGCCCCGCGGCTCTAGGACGTGCTTGGACGGTAAAACTAGTCAATAGATGAGGGATTTACGTGATGAAAGATGCCTGAAGTAAGCGCACCTGTACGAGATGTTCTCTGATGTGGCGCTGTAAGAAGCCAGGTCAAATGGAAGCGTAAAGTATATCACTCTAACTGTAAAAGGAATTGCACAGCCGCCTTGAAATACTTGGCGGACAACGCTGGGCACCTGTGCTCTCTGTGCAAATCGCTGCGGGCTCCACCCGATGCCCTGTGGCGTCTCATGTTGCAGCCCTGCGTTGGGCAGGTCCATTGGCCACAGTGGGCCCATTTGGCGTCATAGGGTGTCTCGGTGCCCCGCCTCTCCCCTCACTGGCCAATTTGCCGTTTCGGGGCGGCTTTCTAGCCGGGGTGCCAGGCTCGGAACCAGCAACTGCGCCGGCTGGGGACGGGCCCTTTCACTGAGGAAACGCGGGCGTGAGGGAAGAGTGGTTTGCTGAGCCGGGTTTTTCTTCTCATCTTTCACGCCTGCCTAGTGCTTGGTGCTCATGATGGCTTTTACCAACCCCCACTGTCCCCTGCCGAGGAGTCCCAACGTCAAGTCAAGGATTTTATCCTGTTAAAGGTCTAGGCAAAAGGCAGCAAGGCAGATTATCCCCACGTCCACCCGGCAAGGGAGAAGAGGGTTAGGATACAGGGAGCCACAGCTTTTTCATTAGGGCCTTGGTCGTCTCTCCGACCCAAGACTGCTGCAAAAATTACTTGGCTTTCAGACATGCCTGTTTGGGTTGATCAATGGCCCCTAACTGGATAGAAGCTTCAAGCAGCACAGCTTCTAGTACAATAGTACAAGAACAACTTAAGGCTGGTCCAAGGAATACACCTATTTTAGCAATTAAGAAAAAATCAGGTGGGAGGAGACTTTTGCAAGATCTCCGAGCAATAAAGGCCATGGAGGTTATGGGCCGGCCCCCTTTTATCGGGGCTGCCCTCACTTACTGCTATTCCTCTTAATTATGAACTACTCGTTCTAGATTTAAAGGATTGTTTTTTCACTATGCCTTTGCATCCAGTGTCCACTGGATTTGCATTTAGTGTCCCTGCAATAAACTTTAAGGAGCCAACGAAGAGATACTGCTGAAGTGCTGCCGCAGGGAATGGCTAACAGTCCTGCGCTCTGCCAGGACTTTGTGGATGCAGCGCTCCACCCCAAAAGGCAGCAGCACCCCCAGGCACACATCATCCATTATATGGATGACATCTTGCTGGCTCATGAGAATGTAGACACTCTTCATGAAGCTTTTGCAGACGTACAACACTCTCTCTTAACCATGGGGCTGTGTATTGCACCAGAAAAGGTACAGAAAATGTCTCCTTTTCAATATCTGGGCAGTTTAATTGAAGGACATACTGTGTGTCCTCAACGTTTACAAATTCGGATGGATACATTAAATGATTTTTAAAAATTACTCAGGAACATTACTTGGCTCTGTCCCTCATTAAAATTGACTACTGCAGATTTAGCTCCTTTGATGTTCTTCGAGGAGATTCCTCACCATCTTCTCCCAGACAATTAACTGCTGAAGCTGGTACTGCTTTAACCATAGTAGAAGCCGCCCTTCATGCTGCTCAGCTTGCAAGAGTAGATTTAACTACTCCCTTTCCGGTGTTAATTTTCCCTACTACTCACACTCCCACGGGAGTCATTTTGCAGGACCCAGGAGTAATAGAATGGCTCCATCTGGCCCATTCTCCGACCAAAGTATTAACACCATTTCATGATTTAGTTTCTCAACTCATAGCGAAAGCACGGTACAGACTAGTTCAATTAGTAGGGCAAAAACCTTCCCTCATTATAGTGCCATTTACCACAGCACAGCAGAGTTGGCTATGGCAACACTCTAGTAATTAGCAAACAGCTCTTGCTAACGACCCTGGTCAAATTGGAAATCATTATCCTGCTAATAAGATTTTACAGTTTTTGTCTGTTACAGCTTTTATCTTTCCAAAAATAGTTAAGCAGCAACCTCTCCCCCCAGCACTAACAGTCTTCACTGACGGATCCAGTTCAGGGAAAGCCGCATTTCATAGTGTAGAGTTCTAAAGTAATTCAGGCAAATTACTCCTCTGCACGAGTAGAAATCCAAGCTCTCATTTATGCTGTAGAAAACTTTGCCTCTGAACCTGACAACATCTACAGTGACAGTGCTTATGTAGTTGGAATGGCTATAATTATTGAAACTGCTGCCATTGGGCATACGAATTCTGAAGAGCTATTCCACCTGTTTATCACCTTGCGAAGAGTTATTTGAAAAACGACAGTTTCCATGTTTTATTGGCCATATAAGATCCCATTCTGGCCTTCCGGGTCCCTTGGCTGCAGGTAATGAGGAAGTAGATCGCCTCGTCGCCTCGGTAGAGGAGGTCACTCCATCCTCCATGGCACAGGCCCCGCATGCCCTGCATCATCCAAATGCCTCTGCCTTGCGCAGGGAACTCCATATTTCCCGAGAACAGGCTCGCCAAATTGTTAAGCAATGCCCTCGGTGTGTTATCCACCTCCCTGTGCCAGCATTGGGGGTAAATCCCCGAGGACTTAAACCTAAGAAATCTGGCAAATGGATGTTACTCATGTGCCTGAATTTGGCAGATTCTGGTGGGTCCATGTCTCTACAGACACATGCTCACGTTTCATTTTTGCTACTCCCCAAACAGGGGAAAGTGCAAAGCATGTAATTAACCACTGCCTAGCGGCTTCTCCAGTCATGGGACGGCCCCTAGAGATAAAAACAGATAATGGACCTGCCTGTACTAGCTCCTCCTTTCCGCAGTTTTGCAAGCAATACCAAATTATGCATAAAACAGGAATTCCCTATAATCCCTAGGGACAGGCAATTGTAGAAAGAGCTAATCGAACCTTAAAGACTCAAATATAAAAACAGAAAGGGGGAGAGGGGTATTATCTTACTCTACAGAATCAGTTAAATCATGCCCTTCACACTTTCAATTTTTTAAATGGTGACGATGAGGGTTGCACAGCAGCCGAGAGGCATCAAGCCCTGGTGCCATGGCATCTGCCGGTATGGCATGGTGGGAGGATTTATAAACAGGGCAGTGGAGAGGGCCAGATCCAGTAATGATGTGGGGAAGAGGCCATGTTTGTATCTTTCCAGAAGGGGCTTCTAACCCCACCTGGGTGCCAGAGCAAGCAGTGCGTCACAACCATGGACCTCCTAGGAGAACAGCTCATCCCGCCGTTCAAGAAGCTGAAGATCACACCTCCGGTGATGATGCCAGCTCAGCCACCAGCCCCGAAGGAGAAAAGCAGAAGGCAGCTGGCCAAGGCCACCCAAAAGCTAGTGTCAACTGAAGAAGCTGACCACCGATGCTCGTGGCGAAAGAACAGGGGGTTCAGGTAACCCCCTCCAACCTTTTTGTTGCTATGCTGGCGCTTGTCAGCTGCCAAGTATGTATGGCTGCATCAGAAACTTACTGGACTTATGTTCCAGACCCCCCTGTGGTCAATCCAGCCATCTGGACCGGAGAATCAGTGCCAATGTTTACTAACAACACTAATATGGTCGGGAGGGGGGGGAGCTCCGATAAGCATATAACTCCTGCTTCCCAAGGTGATTATACTTATAATGGCTTCAGTGGGGAGCTCCCTATTTGTTTATCTAAAAGGGGGACTTCAGGATGTTTGCAGCTTGGCCAAGAAAATAAGACGTCCTATGGAGGCACAAACATTGCTAACATTGCAGGCTCTTGGGATATGGGAAAATATGTTCAGACAGTTACTACACTAGGATTTCCTAAGGCCACCCGTGGCTGTCTGATCAGCATCCCCCGCTCCCCTCCTGCCCTAATAGCACCACTACTGAGCTGGGAGCATTTCCTCAATGGCCAGATTGTGCCAGCCCTGTACCAGTGAGACATATTTCTGGCTCTGACGTGTATGTATTGGATTGGTCCCACAGGCTTGATGCTGAACGTCCCCATCACGAGCCTATGTCACCAGGAGGGTTTGTAGGTAACGCCCTGACCACGAAAACAGGAGGTTTGCAGAAAGATCTGTGGCGTTTAGCCGCTGCCCTTGACTTTCTTAATTTTACTGGCTCTTTCTTAGCTACTACTAAAGGAGCTGTTCATCGAGCCCTTGCTATGGCTATGAGCCTGTGTCCAGCCCCCATATGTATTGATAACTGGAAATGTGAACATCACCAGATTGGACACCCATTATGCTGTCCAATGTCATTACTGTAACCTTGCCAGCTGTGTTTCCAGGCATAACCTGAATGAAGATATATTAATTTTAAAGCAGCCTTCTTTTATTATGCTTCCTACCAACATAAGAGGAAAATGGCATCATGATGCAGGCCTTCAGGCATTGCAGGAATTACACAATCAGCTGTCCCAGGAAAAGTGTGCTTTGGGACTTATTATTTTTGATCTTGTTACCCTAGTTGCTGTCACTGCGTCTGCTGTCACTGCATCTCTTGCATTGACGCAAAGCATCCAGAACGCAAAGTTTGTCAATAAATTGGCTCAGAACACCTCGGCTACATTTCATGATCAAGAAGATATAGACAAAAGGCCAGAAACAAAGCTAAATGCTTTGGAAGCTGTAGTGATAGGACTAGGTAATCAATTAGAAAGTATCAAGATTAGACAGCAGCTGCAGTGCCATGCTGCTTTTACATATATTTGTGTGACTTCAGCCGGCTATAACAGTTCTCTATGGGATTGGAATAAAATCAAGATGCACCTACAGGGAATATGGCATCATAATAATATCAGTATAGACCTAGTGCGGCTACACAAACATGTGCAAACCATCCAGAATAGTCATGATGATATTATATCTCAAGCAAAACTAGCAAAAGAATTGCTGGATGATTTAAAAGATTTCATCCATGGAATATATTAAAAAACACCACCTGGTACCTAATTGGATTCCTTTGTGTACTACTACTCTTATCCTGCTTTTTTTCTGTCATCAGCAAGCTCCTGCGATCTCAAGCCCGAAGGCTCCAACTAGATGTCCACAAGCTACATTTAAAAGTGAAAACAGGGGAAATATCAATCACAAAGGGCATTAAAGCACATGAGTATTACTAGAAATACAGATTAGTCCGTTCATCAGGAAGATACAGAGTTCGAACCCTGGGTGACCCATAAAACAGGGCTACATAGGCCTGCATGGAGGGCTGAGAAACACACCATCAGAACTGGCCAACAATTTTTAACTTCTTTTAAAAGTTTTCATTTTTAATTGTATTAGAAATGTGAAATTTAAAAATCAATAGAACAAAAAATTAAAAAATTAGTAGAAAAGCTGAAGAATAAAATTAATGAAATCCTTTCTTTGACAGGAAAGTCAAAGAAATAGAAATTATGAGGGGGGAAAAGCTAATAGGGGATGAATAATAGAAGTTCCAGAAATAATATTACCCGACATCTGAATAATTAGAGTCCCGAAAGAAGAGAGAAAATGGAGGAGGAATGTGAACTTCCTGGGAGGGGCGGCTCCGCTGTGTCCCCCACCACCAGCCTCTCGGTATTTCTGCTCATTTCAGATATAGCTGCCGCCCCTTCCCAGTGCTTTTGTGAACTAGATGGTAACCGTTGATAAATGTGTTTCGTGCTGAAGTTTTTTTTAAATATATTTTTATTGATTTTAGAGAGGAAAGGAGAGGGAGAGAGAGATAGAAACATCAATGATGAGATAGAATCATTGATCAGCTGCCCCCTACTGGGGATTGAGCCTACAACCCAGGCATGTGCCCTTGACGGTAATTGAACCAGCGACCCTTCAGTCTGCAGGCAATGCTCTATCCACTGAGCCAAACCGGCTAGGACCGTGCTAAATTTTTTAAACATAGTAAGAGAATGTTTAAAAAAAAAAAAGTATGTAGAACACATCTGAAAACATAGGGAGTGGGAGAAGGGTCCCACTGAGTTCTTTTTCCCCATGGCTTATAAAGGCTGCAGTTCCGTGTCCCGATATCCCGATTGGTCAATGTTCCCCTTCGAATTGGTTACTACAGTGATTCCTAAGGCCCTCCTTCCTCATAGTCCTTCCATTCCTCTGGGCTTCTAGAATAGATGGCCTATTAGAATATTGAGTCCTTGTAGAGCAGCCGTGGGCAAACTACGGCCCGCGGGCCGGATCCGGCCAGTTCGGCTGTTCTGTCCGGCCCGCGGAGCCGAAAGAGCGGAGGGTTCTTTTGCTCTCCCCTCCGCTCCTTCACCAGCAGCAGTGTTAACATGTATTAGTTCACACAAACACTCCATCCACGCTCTTGTTCCGGCCTCCGGTCCAGTTTAAGAACCCATTGTGGCCCTCGAGTCAAAAAGTTTGCCCACCCCTGTTCTAGAGGCTCGGTGTTGAGAGGATAGTGTTTCTGATGTGAAGTGGTGGTAAGTGCGTGGTCCACCCGTCCATCTTGTCTGCGACTGCACGCGGACCTTGGATAGGTCACCTGTACAAGGATGGCGGGCATCCTTGCACGTTTTTTATTTTTTTATACTTATTTCAGATGGGAAGTGTTTTCTACACTACAAAAAGACAGTCCATTAGGATGTATCCTCAAGAATTGGGATAAGTTTGACCCACAAACCTTAAAAAGAAAGCGCCTGATTTTTTTCTGCACTATAGAAGGTCTCAAATTTAGTAAAATAAAGCCTGTTAACTACTCTAAATTAACCACCATTAGTCAAGGGGATAACAAAACCCCTCGGCCTTTTTGGAAGGCTCACGAAGGCTTTTGGAAAGGTGAGCCACTTCTCATAAATTAAGGGGTGCTTCTGGGACTTTTGTACCGTGTAGAGGAAAGGCTAGTTCAAGGAGAGGCGCCCCACCTCACTTTAGGTGGTCCTTGGCCTGAGCCCACCTCTTCATGGATGCTGTAGAATGGCCCTGAGATGGTTTTTCTTTGAAAAATGGTGAAAATGACACAAGGGGATTGCGAGGCAATCAGCCAAGCCACATGGCCAAAATTGTCCATTGGAAAACGCTAAGGTTCTGGGGAGGGCCAGTCCCAAACCCGGGACGAGAGACATTGCTTTTAATGGAGTGCTTTGCGGAGTATCTGTGGATTGTGCGCACCTGTCAATACTGTGTATGAGAGTGTTTCTGTTAATGTTTCATGTTGACGTTTGAATCAGTCTGTTTAAAGACGGGGAACATCCCAATTTGCCAGGGCTCAGCTGCTTGTGGACAGGAGGAACACATGGCGGGTTTGAACTTGAGCGTCTCTTTATCTGCTGCGACGTACCTAGGCTGCTAGCTTGGATGGCTCTTCGGCGTCTCTATGAAGATAGAAAGCTCTCTGCCTCTGCACCGTGTAGGGCTGTGTGTCACTCAGAACCATGTTCTGTTGGGTTAACATTTGAAGATTCTGAAGCTAATTTGAAAGTGTAAGTTTGTGAATGTGAGGCTTTTTGCAGGATCAGGAAGCCATGGGAAAGGAACAACTTACCCCAGCTGCGCCCTAAAGGCTGAGAAAAGGATCTCTTTCTTGGCTTCCCAGACATGCCTGTACCAGCTTCAGCCTCTGAGGATGGTTTGCCAAGGTTTGGGAGGAGTACACAGAAGGTGGCTCCAGCATAGAACAGGAAATTAATTTCCTTGCCCCCCAACTGTCAGGCTTACCCAGGGCTCCTGGGTGGAGGTGGCAGTCCTCTGATGAACCAAATTGAGAGACCCCGAGCCCCAACAGTCCTGTTGAGCCAACTGGTCGTCAGCACCCCTCCCCCCCCCCAAGGGACCTCAGTCTCCAGGGGCGGTCCGGCTTCCAGTGGTTTCCTTGGCAGGCAGGACAGGGCTTCAGGAGTCCACCACGCCCCTTGGGCAACTCCAGCACATAAGTCCAACCTGTCTACAGTTGTAGCAGGTGACCGGGACTGACCCTTTGCCTCTGGGCTCTGACTGGGGGTCCTTGCCTTGCCTAAGCGTGGCACTAAGAGCCTTGGCTTTAGCCTGGCTTCCCATTTCTCCTTTTTCCCCATTCTGGTCTCTATTATAGAACACAGAGGTGGTAACTTTCGGGAGATTTTTAAAGTACTCGGGACCAATAGCCAATTCTTGCAACCTCCTGATGTCTGGGATAGCCTGAGTGATACATTTGTCCTTTAAAATTAGTTGTCCCAATTCTGAATCTGTGGTAATGTTGGTGCGCTTAACCAAAAGCCTTTCCAAATTTCAAATGGACTGGGAAATAAAATCTGGCGAAAATGAGACTTTTCAGAATGTTCCCGAGAGGGTGCGAGCATTTAACAGAATCACAATGAAGGCGAGAAGCGAAGTACCCAGTAATTAATGAGATAACTTAACAGCTTGTCTGGCTCTAATGCTGAATTCTCTGAAAAGGCTAAAACTTCTACAGGGTGGAAAACAGTTAGCTGGCTCTCCTTTCTTAACTCTTGCCTAGGACCCTCACCATAAGGGCGTGCACAAATGGTGACTTAGGATCTTAAGCTTAGTGGGTCCTGGACCGCGGAGGCAGCGGTCTTGGCTGGATACTATTTGACCTGACTGAGATAGCAAGCAGAAGGAAAGCAGACGATTCTCCAATTAAAACCTGCTTGGGATCTGGGCCAGAGGAGTCGACATAAGTACTGGGTCAGAAATGTGCTGTTCTTGGAACCATATCTCAGTTTCTCTCCCAGCGGTCTAAGACAGCCGCGAGGGCCAAGGATGCTGGGTGACCAAACCTTGTATGCATCCCCTAGACGGGGCAGACTTTAATTACATGTGTTGTTAAAACCCTATTGAGGCGGTCTGCACACCATGGAGAGATTCGCTCCCAGCACCTCCACTGTGGTTCTTACGTAAGAACATCGGAGAATCCCAGACCGGGGGTAGAATCGCCTCTTTGATCTTCGGAGCTGGGCAGAGACCCAAGCACTCATTTAGTCTATGGCCCGGCTTTGACTTGCAACTGGCGGAAGCATAATGCTCAACCCGACCGGGCACCAGTGTATCCTCCCATGGGAGGCTTTTTCTTCTAGCGGCAATTGCCCTAGTGACCTTTACTTGACTGACCCATGCCCGCTTTGGTTTTGGCCCTGGAGAATTCATCCAGAAAGAAGCAGTGAGAGCCCTAACTGGTTTGGCTCAGTGGATAAAGCATCGGCCTGCAGATTCAAGGGTCCCGGGTTCGATTCCGGTTAAGGGCATGTGCCAGGATTGCGGGCACATCCCTAGTAGCGGGTGTGCAGGAGGCAGCTGATCGATGTTTCTCTCTCATCGATGTTTCTAACTATCCCTTTCCCTTCCTCTCTGTAAAAAATCAATAAATTAAAAAAGGAAGCAGTGAGAGAGAGATGTCCGCTTTTTAGACGGCAGCCAAGTTTAAGTTACTGGTGGGCGGCCTTCTGCCTCCAAAATCATACCAGAAACAGAAAAGAGACAGAATCCGTGACTACTCACCATTCGACGTGAAGAGTGTTGACTGACTTAGGGAGAAATCCCCAGCCAACACACCATCTGATACCGAATTTTTGGACCGGAACCCGGATTCTTTGTCCACCGGAATCAAAGAATGAGTCCACAGACAGAAAGTGGTATAGCAAAGATGGAAATTTATTGAAGAACAAGTAGACTCCCGTGTAGGGAGGGGGGAAAGGGTCCAATGAGTCCCTTTTCTCTATGGCTTATAAAGGCTGCAGTTCCTGTGTCCCGATATCCCTCTGATTGGTCAATATTCCTCTTCGAATTGGTTACTACCGTGATTGCTAAGGCCCTCCTTCCTCATAGTCCTTCCATTCCTCTGGGCTTTCTTCTTTTCCATCTGAATGAAGGGCTTCCTTCTCTTTATTTCGTAAATATAGGGACATGTGACTGCACCTGCTTGTTATGGAAATGTACCTTCTCCCAGTCTGCAGCCCCACGCTTTTCCATGGACCCCAATTCTAAAAAACCCTACGCCTGCCTCTGTTCCCCCCAAATCCCTGCTTCAATAGCAGGGCTGGCGGGGCCCAGGCAGGGGGACCGGGCTCCGGCCGCGGGGGCTGGGCCGCGGGGGAGGGGGGGCCGCGGGCGCCGCCTGGAGGGGACCGGAGTCCGGAGTGCGATCCGGTGCCGCCCACGGGTGAGGGTCCGGGAGGGGGTTGGGAGCTGGGCGGCCGCTAAGGGGCGGGACCCGACGGTCGGATAGGACCGTCTAGACACCCCGGGAACGCGGCGGGCGGTCCGGGGAGGGGTCAGAGGTTGCAAGTCTGGGGGTGCATCCGGCCGCCGGTCGAGAGTCGGGGGTCCGGGCCACGGTCACCTGAGCAACACGAAGAACCCGAGGAGACGGCGGAAGGCGGGCGGGAAGAGCCGCGAGGAGGCGACTGCCATCTTGACCAAGGGCGCGGGCAAGAGCCGGTCGCGCACGTGGATGAGCGGCCTGGGGTTTGGGCTGCGGGTGCGGGGCCCGCGCGCGGGGGCAGGGCCGCCGCTGGGTCCGGGCCCCGGGCCTCCGGGTGCCGCGTGCTCCGACTTACCGCCCAGCGTCGCGCCCGCCCGGCCCACGGGCCCCCGAGGGCGCCTCCCGGCCGCCACAGGCCGCCTCTCCGCCGCCGCCATCCGCCTCCGCCGCCCGGCTGACGCCAGCGAGTCGCAGCGCCGGCGAGAGCGACCCTTCTCTGCCCGCCAGGAGCGTGGGGATGCGGCGGGGGGCGGGGCTGCGTCTGCCCGGTGTTTTGCATACTGCACCCACAATACCCCGCGGCTCTAGGACGTGCTTGGACGGTAAAACTAGTCAATAGATGAGGGATTTACGTGATTAAAGACACCTGGAGTAAGCGCACCGGTACGAGATGTTGTATGATGTGGCGCCAGGTCAAATGGAAGCGTAAACTATGTCGCTGTAACTGTAAAGGGAATTTAACTATTCGACTTTAAATGCTGTGCGTGCACAGGCACTGCTGTGCTCTGTACAAATCTGTGCGAGTGCCCGACGACAGCGATGCTTTATATATAAACTCACAGGCTTATTGGCCGTGGCCGGGTGAGGGGCACACTTGCCGTCGCACGTTGTCGTGGCCCCGCCTCCTCCCTCGTGGCTTGATTTGGACTGAAAGTGGCTTGGTTTGGACTGAAGGTGAGGGCAGCCCGGCCTGAGGGTAGGGTGGTTTGCTGAGCCGAATTTTGGAGTTTTCTCATCTGTGGCACCTGCCTTTATTTCCCCCCAAGGGATTTTTGTTTTTGTCATCCTTTCCAATAGCCCCCTCCACACTCAAGATTGGCTGCATGGACCCTCAGCAGCCGCCCTGAAGGAGGACACCTCCGTCTGCTGGAAATGGCTCTAGGGAAATGAGCACACAAGGGGGCGTCTGCTCTGCTTCCTCATGTTGAGCGCCCAGCCTCAGGGAGGCACATGGGGCCTCCGACAAAGGCCAGGACATGGCAGCTTGTGGGGCGGCTGTTCTCAATGAATCGTGTGCTAAGGGAGGGAGGAGACTTCAGCTGGCGCCCACAGGTTGAGGAAAGCCTTCCACACCTACCTGTCGGGTGTCATAATCCTGGGAGCCCCACAGCCTGAGTGGGCACACAGACCCACACCTGCGCTCCCACAACCAGGAGGCTACAGTCCTTCTCTTCCTGTGCTCTGCGTGGTGCCTGCATTCAGTAGGTGCTCAAAAATGCACTCTCTTGAAAGTATTATGGATCACCTTCCCCTCTCCCCACGACCCCCAGATCACTTGTTAGTTGCAAAGGGGAAAAATAAATTTTTCCAATGGAGAGGCCCACTTTATCCCCTTGCCCTGAGGCAGGCGCTGGGGGTCTCTGATATGTCCAGCAAGGCCCAATGCGCATGGGCTCCTGAGCAGGGACATTTAGCCAGTCTGGCCAAGAAGGAGAATGTTAAACTCAGTTTATTGTTATTAATATAACGTACGCTGTAAAAGCCCCACGTGCCGGCGGCTGCTGGATCCCGCAGTGCAGTCTAGAGCTCACTCCCACTTAATAGACACACGAGACCCATGATGCCAGTGCAGCTTCACCAGGAGTGAAAACGGTGGCCGGCCTCTGGACAGCGCCTGGCCGCCTTGGAGAGTCGCCGTCAAGAAAAAGAACAAGTGGGGAAAGAAGGTTCTAACCCTAAACCACAAGAGATGGAGGAGGATTGAAGGCCTCGCTGTCCTGGGAACAGCAGGGAAGTTAGAAGCTTGGCTGGATTTGGGAGGATGCTGGGGGGCTGTGTGTAGGTGGGGGGCGTGGGGGTGTAGCTGGTTTGGGGTGCCGGGGACCAATTCCAGCATGTTCAGCATGGCTGCATCTGGGAATGGCCTAAGGCCTTTCCCCAAACTTGAATAGGAAACTGATTGTGGCTGACAGACAGCTAAAAAGCAACTTAATCTACATGTTATTGCCTCCTACTGGCCAAACACCTGAACAGCCGTAGGCTAATTTCCCCATTCTGACCATGGACCCTGTACCCTTTGAAGTGTATATCTCTGCCTCGCCTCAGGACAAGTTGTTTTAATAAAAAGCATGGGGTCCTGGGGACGGGGAGAACCTAAGGCCTTAGACTTAAGACCTTAGAACTTAGCTCCTTTAGCTAAGCTCCTCTGACCCCCAATGCCTTTCAAAATTATATTTCGTCTCCGGACTCTTTATTAGTCTCTGGATTCCTATGTCATCTACGCAGAACCCCTTCTCCAAATTCCTGAACCCTTCTTGGTGCTGGGGCAAGAACCCCGGCATTGGGGCATGTTGAGAGTTAAACTGGGACTGGAGAGGGGGCACTGAGCCGATGACCCTCCAGCAGGGGCTGGAAGGAGGACAGTGCAGGAACCAGGTGGAGAATGTCAGGCAGAGGGCATAGCTGAAGCAAAGGCCCTGCAGCAGAGCCAGGAGAAGGCCCGCTGCCCTGAGCAGAGCAGGTGGCCTAGCGGACACCTTGTTGAGGATTGCCATAGAGGGGGCTGCCGGAAAGGGGCGCCAAGCCATCTGCTCCTGCAGCCCCCCCACCCCACCCCCCCTGCCCCGTGCCAGACACCAAGACCCCTGGGCTCTCACCCGGCTGCGTGGCTCAGTGGTTGAGAGTCAACATATGAGCCAGGAGGTCAGTGTTCGATTCCCGGTCAGGGCACATGCCCAGGTTTCAAGCTGGATCCCCAGTGTGGGGCTTGCAGGAGGCAGCCAATCAATGATTCTCTCTCATCATTGATGTTTCTCTCTCTCCTACTCTCTTCCTCTCTGAAATCAATACAAATATATATTTTAAAAATATCTCTGGCTTCAGACCCCTGCTTCCTGCACACTCCCTACTGGGGATGTGCCCGCAACCAAGGTACATGCCCTTGACCGGAATCGCACCTGGGACCCTTCAGTCCACAGGCTGACGCTCTGTCCCTTGAGCCAAACAGGTTAGGGCATGGTTTTTTTTGAATCAGTGTCCTCCATTTGCTACCTTAGGACAATTTCAAGAGACTAAATTTTTTATAGTCGTCTTTGGTTTTGCTGGTTTCCCTGGGAAGTGGGTTCACAGAGCTCCTCATGCAGTCATCCCACTCCCATCGACTCGTAGCTTACCCTCCAGGCAGCAGGCGCAGAACCTGAAGGATCAAGTTCTGTGCAGTGACACTGAGGATCCACATCTCTGTTCTGATCTCTGAACGAGGAGGACATGGCAGTGGAGCCCACCTGCTCTGATGGCAGTGCTGAAAGCTTCGGGAAGCTTATGGTGAACACGCTCCATCTCAAGATACTTGTGAACGCTGGTTTAAACGCTTTATAAGTGATGATTTCGATGTGAAAGACAAAGAACGTCCAGGTCAACCGAAAAAGTTTGAAGACCAACAATTATAAGCATTATTGGATGAAGATGGGTGTCAAACTCAAAAACAGCTTGCAGAAAGATTAAACGTTGCTCAGCAATCAATTTCTGATCATTTACAAGCAATGGGAAAGATTTTAAAGGACGGAAAATGGGTGCCACATCAACTGAACGAAAGACAAATGGAAAACCGAAAAGTCATCAGTAAAATGTTGCTTCAACAGCACGAAAGAAAGTCTTTTTTTGCATTGAATTGTGACTGGCAATGAAAAGTGGATTTATTTTGACAATCCCAAATGCACAAAATCATGGGTTGATCCAGGTCAAACATGAACATCGACTGTAAGGCCAAATCACTTCGGAAAGAAGACAATGCTCTGCGTTTGGTGGGATCAGGAAGGTGTGGTGTATTATGAGCTTCTAAAACCAGGTGAAACCATTAATACCGATCGCTACCGACAACAAATAATCAACTTGCACCACGCTTTGATTGTGAAACGACCAGAATGGGCCAGAAGACTTGGCAAAGTAATTTTGCTTCATGATAACACACCATCACACACTTCAAAACCAGTTAAAGACTCGTTAAAAGATCTTGCCTGGGAAGTATGAACCCACCTGCCATATTCACCAGGCCTTGCTCCTTCAGATTCCTACTTGTTTGGATTGATGGCACATGGCACACACACTTTCTGAGCAGCACTTCAAAACGTATGAAGAGGGACTAAAGAGAAACACTACAGTACAGAAGATTGGGATCTTAAGCCAGCCAAAGGAACACTTCACTTTTTCATTTTTATTTTATTTTATTTTTTATTACTTTGTTATCTCTTTTTTGTTTGTTTTGTTTGTTCCTGTTTTTGTTTGTTGCTTTATTTTCTATTTCTTTTCACATTATCTTTCCATCACTCTATTTTATTTTATTTTTATTTGCTATTTTTATACCATTTTTGAAATCAAATTTTTTATAAATTTATTATTATTTTTTCTCATTCTCTTTCCTATTATCCATCCATCCCCTTTCTACTTTCTCTATGCTGAACTGAGATCCTCCCCTTATCTTCTATATATAAGCTCAGCATCTACAGATTCTGTCCCCATCCTCTTTCCTGGGGGTTTGGTGTTTGTATTTTTTTATTTTTACTTTTTATTTTTATTATTACTATTATTTTTGTTTGTTTGTTTTGTTTGTTTGTTTATATATTGGTTCTGTGGTGTTTTCCCCATATATATATATATATATATATGGAAAGAAGAAGAAGGAATAAAGAAGAAGGAAGAAAAGGAGATTATATAATCTCCTTTTCTTCCTTCTTCTTTTCTCTTCTATCTTTTTCACTCTCTTCGATATCACTTATGTTCTCTTTTCTCGCCCCTAATCCTCTTTTCTCAGGTGGTCACTGATAATAGTGTTATTATTGTCGTGAGTGCATTCATGCTTTGGTCCCTTTGTGTTGTGTCTTGTCGAAGTGAATTTTATCCTGTCTGGCCAGATGTTAGAGAGTCAGCTCATAACCAGACACCTGGAGAGGAAACTCCATCCACAAACGGGTCAATAACACCTCAGACCCAACTACAGAGGCAGGAAAAAGACGGCAGTGAAGGAGAGAGCGAGAGTCAGTGAGGGACCAAAAGAGGAGTGTGTGATCATGTGGAATGTGTGTGTGTACGTGAGTGAGGCACGGATAGATCCTGCAGGGCCTTCGGGGTCAGGCTAAACGGGCTCACCTAACTAGGCAGCCTCTGCTACCGTGTAAGCAGTTCCAGGAGGCTGGCTCGTCCTCAGAAGCCTAGTATTTTTAAGGGGAGAGCTGCTGTAACTGGGAGCCAGGCCTCACCCCTACCCAGGGTATCCTCAGATAACACCTAGGACTCTACATACACCCCTGCCAGGGACCTGCTACCTCGGCTGGGGTCCCATGATCAACGAATCTCCAGCCACCCTGGGCGCAGGCTCTTGTGAGTTCTGAAGCGTGCTCCCCCCTGACCGGCCCAACGCCTTAGCCCGGGACACTGCAACCACGCAAGCAGCAGACACGTGAGCAGCCCACTCCAGTCCAAGGAGCAGCACCCCATGAGCAGCCTGTCCTGGGCCTAAGAGCAGAAGCCTCACCTGGCCTACCCCAGTCCAAGGAGCAGCAGCTGTCAGCTGTGTGAGCAGCCCGCTCCGTCATCCAAGCAGCAGCAACCACGTGAGCAGCCTGCCCCATCTGAGGAGCGGCAGCCACACGAGCAGCCTGCCCACAATTGAGGAGCGGCAGCCCCACACAGCCCACTCCCATCCGAGGAGCAGCAGCTGCACGAGCAGCCTGCCCCCATACGAGGAGCAGCAGCGGTGTGAGCAACCCATACCCATATGAGGAACAGCATCACCGCGAGCAGCCCGCTCCCATT